TATTTTACAGTTAAAATATATGTTTATCAAATAAAGTCAAATGTTACAACTAATCAGGGATCCCTGAGAACTCTGAGATCTGAATTCTAATCACTTATTAATAATTTATCATATCAACCATTGTCCATTTTTATTCATCTTTTTTGTGAGGAGTTTTTAACATTAAGATTTAATCAGGCAGACATACAGTATATACACATTTACATTTATTGTTACTAATACTATAATCAAAGGTGAGCCGTGTAAATTTATGTTTGTATCAAACAAGTAGTRCTTTGTGTTACTCTGTACCTCTGAAGTAGCTCTCTGCCCCAAAAAGTTGGTGATCCCCACCATAGTTGGTGTTTAACTATTGTAAACAAATGTTTTACAATGTCAACGTTAACATTTTTTTGGCTGTTGGTTGAGCTGCCAAAGCGGTCCCAACACCGGGCTGAGACGGTTTTCTGGGGGAAACCCTGTCATGTAAATCTGTTTACAGGATCTGGAGACATTTTGCTACGAAAACATCTGATTTTAACAGTTAATGATAAGGTTGTAAACAAAGAGCTGATGTAATCAGTTTGTGCTCAGAGTACAGTTAGTCTGATATACTGCCACACCATTATCTGTAAAACCGAATGAGTTAGTTAAAGTTACAGGCAGCCGTCTTCCCTCAGTTTGAGTTAATCAGATGTAAACATCAAACACTTTTATTGTTTTCACTTTCTGCAGCCAGGTGTCTTTACCTTACTAGGACTAAACCTGACAGGTTTTTCCTAAAACGACTTTAATAAAAAGTAGAAAGTGTGACATTTGAGTTTTTTGTGGAAACAAAAGTAATGATTAATAAATAAAAGCAGCTAGGTGTTGCTCTTTAACACATCATCTTTACCGTTGTCTTTCTGGAAAACTGCTTTCAGCTTAGGAACCTTGGTGAAGTCCACCCGCCTCCACTCCTCATCCTCAGACACCAGCACATCAGCTTTGTCTGTCAGAGCACAAAKACATCAGTGTTGGACTTTGAGGCTCAGCTGTCAAACAAGACCAGGACAGTCTGGGACGTACTTCTCTGTGGTATGCTAACAGCTACGATCTCCCGGGCCAACACGCCGGCTTCATGTGCTGCTTTGCTGCGGCTGTAGGAGCAGATGGCGTAGGCGTCCTGCTCCTCTCTGCTGATCTGATACTTCTTGGCTGTGTTCTCAGCACAGTTGCCCTGTTGTAAACACACACAGTGGAACAAACTTCAGGTGCTTTAAAACTCAATGAAGCCTGAAAGGTTCCCTGGCCAGCAGCTGAAGGTTACCATGTGAAACTTGTTGTAGACGTCGGTCAGGCCGTCCTTAACGATCAGGTCTTCTAGCTTCACCCCTCCGTACGGCGGTGCCTCTCTGGCCATCACGTAGGGCACGTTGGACATGCTCTCCATGCCTCCTGCCACCATCACATCCTAAAGACACACAAACCACACGCAGCTAAAATAAGTACAGTGCATCATCACAGTCTAAACTGAGCAACAAGTCGTCTGCCACAAACTCAGCTGGTTGGCGGCTGCTGACTAAAAAAACAACCAGTTCTGTTCTGTATTTTTAAGATGGCCGCATCATGGCTCTGCAACAGACTGGATACTTGAACAACTGAAGGAGTATTTTACAGAAAAAACTCAGTAATCTGCAGGAATCTCAGAGCTCAAAGGCTGAGAGTCAAGARTAGGAGGTCYTGATCTTCACTGCATRCAYACCAGGTCTGGTTCTGTTCTYGACCTCACTGTGTGGACTCAGGATCACTTCCACACATCAACAGTAAACATTTCACTGAGCCATCCACTGAGAGCTGCTTAAAGCTCTATCAGACACATCAACACCAGGCTGAAGCAAAGAGCAGTCTGCAGTGATGCGGGCGCTGTACCGGTCTGTCGTGGTGAAGAGAGCTGAGCCAGAAGGCAAAGCTCTCGGTTTACCGGTTGGTCTACGTTTCTACCTTCATCTATGGTCACGAGCTTTGGGTAGTGACCGAATGAATGAGATCCCAGATACAAATGTCTGAAATGAGTTTCCTCCGCAGGGTGTCTGGGCTCTCCCTTAGAGATAGGGTGAGAAGATCAGTCATCCAGGAAAGACTAAAGCCTGAAACATACTCGCTCCGACGCCGACGGGTCGACGCGCGGTCACGTGGTTGTTCGGCAGTTGTTTTCGCACAGACCTTTCATAGTCCCAGAGACACCCTGCGCCGAGCTCAGGAAACCCCTCCCGCTGCAGCACACGTCACTGCATGGAGTTTCTTCAGGCTGCAGCCGACAATGCAGAAAAAAAAGTCAGACTCGTCACTCACCTGACGTATTTATCCACATCCTCATTCACGTCCTGGTTAAAGCTCCACAGTTTTTATCAGTCAGATTCCTCCGTGCACAACGTCTGTTTAATCTCCATTCATGAGTTTTTCACAGTTTGACTATCTTTATAAAAGTCTGCTTCCTGGTAGTCGGTTCTGGAAGCAAGTTGGGGGTTTTTTTCTTTCCTTTTTTTTTACCGAGTGGTTGAAGTCAGCGTAGCGCTTTCAGCAAAGACAAACACACCATGAGTTTTTCTTGGTTTGACTATCTTTATAAAACTCTGCTTCAACATTCGGCTCTAGAAGCAAGTTTTTTTTCTTTTGAGTGTCCGAGTGCTTTCAGTTTCAGCACAAACACGCCCACGAACTTCAGACCAATCAGACATTACCGTCGACATGGGAGGGGGGTCAAAAGTTCTGCTGGCGGGTTGAGCTGATGCTGACAAGCCTTTTGATGTAATTTTCGCCATTAAACTGCGACAACCTGTGCCGAGGAAGTATGTTTCCAGCTTCAGAGTAGAGCCGCTGCTCCTCCACGTCAAGAGGAGCCAGTTGAGGTGGTTCATCTGGTTAGGATGCCTCCTGGACTCCTCCCTGGTGAGGTGTTTCGGGCACGTCCCACTGGGAGGAGACCAAGAGGAAGACCCAGGACACGCTGGACAGACCATGTTTCTCGGCTGGCCTGGGAACACCTTGGGATTCCCCCAGAGGAGCTGGTCCAAGTGACCGGGGAGAGGGAAMTCTGGGTCTCTCTGCTTAGGCTGCTGCCCCCGAGACCCCAGATAAGAGGAAGAAAACGGACAGACGGACGGACAACTTSGCTCTGTTCCACATCTCAACCATTCAATCGTCCTCTTGCCTTTAAGTTCAGATTATTTCAGTTTCTTCATACACAAACAAAGCATAGTTTTTGTTTAAACTGTCTGTGTCCTGACAGCAGAATGTGAGACAGATATCCTCCCCGTGCTCCTATAAACCTCTGCAGAAACCACTGATCGTCAGAAAGCCAACTAAGAGACAAGAGGGTTGTCAATCAGGCTTGTGTGAATGCTGCTCCAACCCACACAAACATTAAGGCAGCCTTAATGTTTCCTGATAAACAGGACAACCTCTACGGAAAAAACTCCAACCAGGTCACATGAAAATCCTGAATGACCTTTATCTGTAGGAGAAAATATTTACAGTATACGTGTGTTTGCTTGTTTTTATTACCTTTTTAGGACCGTTTCCAGTATACACATCTACCTTATCAAGACCAGTAGTCCTAATGGGGATCAAAGACCAGTCCTAATATGGTGGAACCCCATTTTTGGGTTGGGGGTTAGGTTTAGGACCAAGGTGTGAATTGAGTTTAGGTGAGTTTTAGGTTAAATGGTCAGGGTTAGAAATGAACGGTCCTAATAAGGATATAAATAGAAACGTGTGTGTGTGTGTGTGAATATCACCTGGTGTCCACACATCAGACTCTGAGCTGCCATCATGATGGACTTCATCCCAGAGGCACAGACTTTGTTGATGGTTGTTGCTGGAGTGCTGAGGGGCAGGCCTGGAGATCAAACACCACCAAGTACTGAGTTAAAACAATAAAAAGACAGAGACCCTCCAGGGTTCCTACAATTTTCAGGCAAGTTAAATTTAAGACTTTTTAATGCCAAATGAAATTAAATTTAAGACCAATTTCATTATAAATGCAAACAACAAAAAAAAAACTGTGACAGAAACTCACAAATCAAAGTATTTTTGGTTGAATTATTCAAATATTGCTAATAGACCAATTGTTTTTATCCATATATGACTGCTATTTTGTTAAATATAGCCAAAAAACATTCTTAGCAGTCAGTTTATACTTAATTTAATTCCTGGAAATCCTCTAACAACCCAAGATTTGGAGTTTTAGAACCCACAGTGGGCTCTCAACCCTTGCTTGCTGTAGATGAAACCTTAAAGTGCCTGTTGTGTAAAATGTTTGTACGAAACATGAATGCATTTTTGGAAAGACAACATTATAAACATATTAAAAAATGAATTTCACATTGCTCAGATGGACAGATGTTGAGATATTTGCATGTGAAATAACAGGAAGTGATGCCAAAAGGGAATGTCTAAAGGAGAAATATTAAAAAAATAAATAAATGTTACCGATTATTTTAGTATTTGAGACAAGTTACAGTCATCCTACTTACAATGTGTTAACATTTTAAGACTTCTGAAGATTGATTTAAGACCTTTTAAGGCTAATTAAGGCCTTATTTTTGGATTGATGAATTCAAGGCCTTTTAAGTCTTTGAGACAAGTTACAGTCATCCTACTTACAATGTGTTAACATTTTAAGACTTCTGAAGATTGATTTAAGACCTTTTAAGTCTAATTAAGGCCTTATTTTTGGATTGATGAATTCAAGGCCTTTTACGTCTTTTTAAGGATCTGCATGAACCCTGTCCTCCTGCTCTTAGTTTGAAGGGTTACGAAACAAAAGAATTCTCCTCAAAAAACTGAAAGTGTTTGATCTAAAAGCACATCAGGTGTGGTACCTGCTCCTAGTAAAGCCTGGCGTGTGGGAGCCTGTCCTTCTGCTGCTTGGAGAACGTTGCCCATATAAACCTCCTTCACCTCCTCAGGAGGAACACCTGAACTCAGAGCAGAAAGTCAACTCAGTGCYTTCTGATGCCTGGTTCAACTGGAAACTAATAGTTCCTGTTTTTCCTGCAGCTAGGACCCTGAAAGAAGCTCACCTGCTCMCTCCACAGCTCCCCTGATGGCCACCGAGCCCAGCGTGGGGGCCGGGACCGCTGCCAGGCTGCCTCTGAACGAGCCCATTGGAGTGCGCACGGCGCTGACGATGACCACTTCCTGCAAGCAGAGGAAGAAAGCTGCTGAAGCAGAGACGTCCCATCAAGCTGACCTCAGCTCCACCACTTTACTCACATGAAGTGACGGCTGATGTGAGTAGGTRCTGCACAGGTACCTGTGAGCCTGGAGGGGCAACAAATAGAGGATTGACTTCACATTGAAGAAATTTATAATTATTATAAATTAGTACTGATATCAGAAACAACACCAGAGTATTAGGGGTTTCTTTTTATAACACTTTAATAATGTTTGATCTATTATGTGTTAATTGAAATAGAGTAGCTACATGTCCYAATTATATAACAACACACAATTAAAAGCTGTGTTAACATTAGTGTGAGGTCTTTTGTCTGAATYCCTGTGATTCAGCCGTAGGCCAGCAGAGGGCGAACTCAGGCARTGAAGAATCGTGTACTGTATTTAAACGTGGACTTCCTGTTTTTCATTCAGTGTGGTTTTGACTTGTCAGCCAGTGGCATAATAAACCTCACTCCAGAATTCTGGTGTTGTATGACATTTATTTCCTATCGCAGATCATTTTATTTAACACTTGTGTTTTCATCTGATTGTCAGCCGATATTAAAACACGTATTTCTTACAACATGATGCCAGGATCATTAATCTGACTTAAAAAACAGGAAAAGTTATGTTTTGTGAAAAATAAAGTCCTGAATGTGAAACATTTAGAAGCTTTTCAGTGGTTCTAGTAATATTAATCAGTTCATTTTATTAACTAACATTAACATTTTATTTACTCTCTAACACCAAGTTATTTGTAGCAGCAGAGGGTTTTTGTCATCAACATTTCAACTTTTTACTGCTGGTGGAAGAGTAGTACTTGAAACCGGTCTTGGTCTTAAGACCGGTCTCAAGACCACTTTTTGATGGCCTTGGTCTTGTCTCGGTCTCGGACATTGAGGACTCGGAATTTTATTTCAAGACCAGTCAAGACCACAATTGTAGAAATATCACTAAATCGACAGATCATCGTCCAATGTATTTGTCCTGATGCATCTCAGTAATCCAGGTAAAAAATCAAAAAGAAAAAAATTGTATAGGTCTTCTGGACGGGTTCTTCTCTAATGAAACGTTTCGTCTCTCTTCCAAGAGACTTCTTCAGTCTGAGAGTTTCAGGCAAAATTCAGGCTTTTATGTCCTGCCTCCATGTGACTGATACTCACATCACATGGCTATCGTTGACACCTAATTAACACCTATTGTTAACAGGGGGTGGAGTGATACTGGCAATAGCAGCACTGTAGGAGGGGGACAACTGAAAGCGGAGGCCTCCACCTCTGTTTAATGATGGATGGTCTTTCTTCACAAAAATGGCTTCTTTTACTCCTCTCTCAAACCAACGTTCCTCTCTATCAAGAATGAGAACATCCTCATCTCTGAAAGAGTGACCGCTGGCCTGTAAATGAGTGAAAACTGCAGAGTTCTGGCCATTAGATGTAGCTCGTCTGTGTTGGGACATTCTTTTGAACAGTGGCTGCTTTGTTTCCAATTTATTAGTTAACATTCTTGCTTTCATTGGATTTAAAATGTAGCTACTGATTCAAATCCAAACCTGACTTATTTTATATTTATGTAATTTTGTTACCGGCTGTCACCCATCCTCACGCTCTTCACTCACACGCAGCACTCCAGGAAAGTGAGCAGTGGTTCTCCCGGAGCAGTGAAGGATATCTTCAAAATTTTAAGTATAAAATTTGGCTACATTATTCATAAATAATATTGTTTGTTTGTTTATTTATTTATACTATTATTTGTCTATTTATTAACCAAACTAGGCCAGGAAATTCCCACTTAGTAGTTGCAAAGACCCCTACCTGCATCCAAGTGCAGTTCTCTGACAGTCTTTTAAAAGTAATGGCTTGGTATGTCATGTGGTCTAAACTAGGGTTGGGCATAATCGTATCGTGTGCAATTAATTGTCAGAAAAACATTAATCGATTAATTTTTGGCACTTGACGATTAATACGATTAAGGTCACCAGGCAGATTAACCGCTTGGTGTTCCTCTCTGGTTCAAATATAACAAACTTTTTAAAAAGTTGTGTAGTTTATTTATCTATCAGCACAATTTAAAGATTGATGTATAGCCTGAAGTCTGCAATTTTGACACAATTTGGAACAGATTTTTTCGAAGAGCCTATTTTCTCCCTATAAATTGGTCATGTGACTATGACATGAGGGTGTCCAGGGACTGCGGGGGATTAATCGTCAAATTAATCGTTATCGGCTAAATACCACAATTAATCGTGATTAATTTATTTGCCAATATTGCACAACCCTAGTCTAAACCAGGGCTTGTTAAATGTTTTGGGTCCGGGGACCCCTTACAAGAGTGAAAAATTTCCAGGGACCCCCTTATTAATCCCATGCTGTTACAAAAATAATTTACAGTCATTTTAACTCCTAAACGCCATGGGAATATTATCTTTTGTTTGGTTTAGTATGTTTGTTTTACTAATGCATTGCTCCCCATATGCATTTTTTTAAAAACTAAAACCAAATTAACAATTTACTGAAATTTTTTGAGGACCCACAAGATTCTCGAAGTCGGCGTGATGTCATTCAGTCACGTGATTTCAACCTCCATTTTTGGGGAGCAGGAAACAGTAATCTCGTGGAAAAAACACGGCTATCCATCATCAGTCTCATCT